GTACGATGGGATGTACCCCATGTTATAATAATACTCATACAAGGGCCATTGACCCATTTAAAGCCCTGGCTTCTCTTTCAAGTTCCAGCTTTCTAGAGAATCATTCTGAGGAAGAAATTTTCAAACCTTTAAATTGGTCACATATAGTATGCTACCCGAATTATGATTCTAACTGTATTCCTAATAGTACCCATTGTTGCTTTGACAAAACTCACAATGCAGATACAAACGATACTTCTAAATGTGTTACTTGGAAATTAAACCAATCTCTTCAAGGAGTATTAGCAAAATTTCTACCACCTCCTGCAGGGGGGAAAGATCAAGGAAATAACTTAGGCCCTTTTAAGGACTGCCTTTCCCCCTTGCCATATGCCCTCCTTAACAAATATAACTCCACTAATGCCACAGTTATTGCAGCACCCCCGGGGCTTGTCTGGCTATGTGGGACTCCCAATAACTGGCTAACGGATCATTCAGAACTTCAAGAAGCTATTGCTTATACTCATCTCAGCAACTCTAAACATGGGGGTGACTGTACCTTAGGGACCTTGGCACCCCAAGACCTTACTGTTATAAATATAACCATGGGTCCTGGGAGTCCATCTCTCAGCAGAAAAAAACGAGCTTTTGGTCTAGTAGTGGCTGGAGCTGCTGCCACTATAGCCGCTGCAGCCCCCCCTGGGGAGGTTTCGCCTATCATGAGGCCACTCTAAGGGAACTCACTAAGATTATAGAAGAAATCTCCAAAGATACTGCTGGTACTCTAGCTGGACTCTCAAGATCAGTAGACTCATTGGCAAATGTAATCATGGATAACCGCCTTGCCCTTGACTATCTTCTAGCAGAACAAGAAGGGGTATGTGCTGTTATCAATAAAACCTGCTGCACCTATGTAAATAACTCTGGAGTGATCGAAACTAACATAAAGAAAATTTATGAACAGGCAGAATGGCTACATAAGTATAATCAACAGGGCCAAGGGATTAAGGAAGCCCTGACCTCCTGGTTCCCTGGCTTAACATGGTTATTACCCTTCTTAGGGCCCTTAATAACACTGCTGGTTTTACTACTTTTAGGACCTTGCTTATTTAATCTACTTGTTAAATTTGTTTCTTCTAGACTTAAGCAGTTCCACGTCAAACTGATGACGCTCCAAGGTTTCCAACCAATCCCTGAGAACGATGTTGAAGCTGACCAACATACAGCATCTGCGGTGGCCTCAGGAATTCCTCTTCAACCCCTAGATAGAATAGGGCGAGAGTTCCGTGGTTCTCAATAGGCAGGGTCTACTGTCCAATCTAAGCCTGAAGCAGCTATGGAAGACGGATCTTCATCCTTCAACAACCCCCAAAAAGATTTTTTGAGAACCATGTCTCTCAGGGGGAAGTTGAGGCAGGAGGTAGTCAGGAAGGAAGCTCCAGAGGCCCCGCAGGGCTGAGGTAGAAAACACCTATACATGACAAAGACCCCCTAAGACGGGTTGTTCCTGTTTTCTGGGAGAACTCTGAATCATAGAATGCGCCTGCGCGCTACCCCTGATTCATTATAATATCATTATAATGAAATAACATTGTGGGACTCCCTTCTCCAGTAGCCAATCAAGAAAGTCATGGGAAACCACGCATGCGCAGTAGCTTTGAAATCCAACTCCTTGTACCTGCGCAGGAAAAGCCCGCCAAAGACTAGCAGGGGGCTTCTGCCCCTATAAGAATAGAATCCCCCCAGCCCACGTGCCCTTTTTTTTCCTCTGCTCAGAGCTGGCTCACTCCCGTGTCCTGTGGTATGTACTATCACTTAATAAACCTCCCCTCTTTCTTTATGCTATAAACTTTGTGTGTTCGGTTCAATTCTTTGTTCTCGATCACTAAGAACCTGGTTACCTGTGCACACCTGTGCACACCTGTGACAGTAGGGCCTTTCAGTAAAGGCTTCAGAAACTTATTTGAACACCCAAAACTTAGTCCTCTGTAACATCAATTAGCACCTTAGAAAATGATGTGGAAAATACTGCATTCAAACATTAACTGTTATATACATCTTAGTGTGATTTAGTCCATATATTTTCAATGTGACAGCAGGTGAGAGAGAAGAGGCCAGAGGGCAGGTAAGTTTCGATGGGCCAGCGTGGAAGTCTAAAGAAGGCAGGCTTGGGTGTGAGAATTCAGCGGAGAGGGTGGGGAATGGAGGGGAGGTGGGCGCATGCTACAGAGAAACTTCAGTTTCTAACTACATAACTTGTGTCATTGTGCTTAACAGTTCATGCCAAATCCTCCTGGCCCTTCAGGTTCACCACCTTCTCTGGGAAATTTCCTCTGACCTATTCCTCTCCCCAGGCCTAGGTTGGAGGCTCTTCTTATGTGCTTCCATGGCCCCCTGTGTTTATTTACCTCTAGCTGGGGCAGCAGTGTACTGAAATTGCTTGTTTGTTGTTGTTGTTGTTCTGTTTTGGGGTTGTTGTTTTTTTGGCCTGTCTCTCCACTAGACTGAAGTTTCTAGAGGACAAAACTGTGTCTAGTTCACTGTTCGCATCTTTTGTGTCCCACCCATGCTTGGCATATTAAAGTCCTCAGCCTGAGCCTTTGTCTCATCCTCTTTGGACCATAAAGTGTAAGAGCTTAACCCTGACTTTCCTAACAATTGGTGGGTGCTGTTGAAGCCTGTATCACACATCTGGGCCCCATGCTGGCCACACAGCCATAATTCAGCCTAACAGAACTCATGTTCCAAATAAGACCACAGAGCACCACCGCCATGCACTTTTTGTTTTCCCTATCTCCTTTTTTCTCCGGTCCAACCACAAAGGGTTTAGCCTGAATATGTTCTGTATTGTACCACAGTTTATGGGGTATCTAACTAGACTACGAGAAAGACTGAGATCAAAGGAGCAAATGCTACACTTCTGAAATAGTTTATAGAAAGCAGTTGAAATTAAGGCATTGCAGATGTGAATGAGACACTCTGGGGAAAGGAAATGAGGGGCTAGGTCCATATTGGTGTAAGGTAACAGAATGAGCCAGAGAGAAAACCCCATACACCACATCTCCCACAGTCCAGGAAGTCTTCCTCAGTGCAAAGGGCTCGGAAGCAAAGCATAGAAACCAAAGTTTCTGTGGGGAACCAGGTGAAACACATAATTTGGGCCTGAACAGTTAGAGCCCTGAATCCACTAACCCCAGTGATTGTGTGGGGGAAGGAGCTACTCGCAATGAGTTTGAGTCTGGATTTGAACCTGGAAGGATAAAGTCCTAAAACGTACTCAGTGGAGAATGGCAGTATACCAACGTGAAGAAGAATGGAGGTGTGAAATGGGGAGGCCAGGTCCTGATGACTCCCCTTGAGTGTAGGTTTAAGCCTTTTACATATCAATCCGTCAATTATCTTTTCTCAGTAAGCTAATTTGAATTGAATTTCCATTCCATTGCAATCAAAAGAGTCTCAAAAATCTATAGGAAATGAAACTTTACATAGTAAAAATAAAGAGAAAAAACGTGGGAACCAAGACCCAAGGAATAGTGGATACCTACTCCCAGCTCCCCACTCTCGGAACTGCCATCTCTTCCACCATTCCCACGATCACAGAGGAGGACTCCCATGCACCTGGACTTGTTCGAAAGACTTCTCCCTTGGGTCCACCATAGTCACTTCCTCAAGAAATTGAAACAGGGCCTTGGAGTCCAGTGTCGGTGGAGGCAATCTCCTGAAAAGGCAAAGAGTCCATACCTGGGGAGCTGTGACATAGCTGTGTTTTCCCCTGTGAACTGTGCAATAGAGGAGGCAGGGCAGTATCATCAAGACATTACAGATGAAGAAACTTGAAGGTCAGAGAGATTATGTAGCAACCTAAGGTTGCAACTTTGGTACGATGATTACATTACTAGAATTCAGCTTTCCTTTTCTTTTTTAAGATCATTTCATTTCATTTATTATTTTAGAGAGAGGGGAGAAAGAGAGGAAGAGAAACATGGATGTGTGAAAGAAACATCAATTGGTTGCCTGTTGCACCTGCCCCAACCAGGGACCAGGCTCGCAACCCAGCCATGTGCCCTGACCACTAATGGAACTGGTAACCTTTGGCGTTGCGGGACAACGCTCCACCCAACAGAGCAACGCCAGCAGGGATCTTTTCTTTTTTTAAAATTTATTGATTTGAGGGGCGGGGGAGAGAGAGACAGACAGACAGACAGACAGACAGACAGAGACAGAGAGAGAGAGACAGAGAGACAGAGAGAGACTTGTTGTCCCACTTATTTATACATTCATTGCTTGTTTCTTGTATGAGCCTTGACCAGAGATGGAACCTGCAATATTGGTGTATTGTAACAATGCTCTAACTCAGCCTTTTTGGCACCAGGAACCAGTGTTGTGGGAGACAATTTTTCCACGGACGGGGGTGGGGTGGATGGTTTCGGGATATTTCAAGCGCATTACATCCCAGCTCTCCTCCTGCTTTGCGGCTGGTTCCTAACAGGCCATGGACCACGGGTACTGGTCTGTGGCCCTGGAGTTGGGGACCCCTGCTCTAACCAATTGAGTTGTATTCCTACCAGGGGGGAATACAGCTTTTCTGAATTCTAAAGACAGGAAGGAAACAGCTGGCACAAAGCAGCCTAAGAACTATGGACACATGTGAGACTTGGGCGTGATCACATGAGAGCAGGGTGTGATCATACAGCCTGGCCAGCCACGGAGAAAAAAGTCAAGTCAAATGCTAGCAGTCAAAGATAACTCCCTACACTCAAGACATCAAAGAAATTCTGGTGCTGAAAATGTCTCTGGCTTGGCTCAGAGACTGGCCTTCCATGCGGACAACACCTGCGGGGAATTTATACCGCCTAGGCTTGCAGTACCTGGGCAGCCACCCAGGGTGGAAACTACAACTCCCACTATGCACCGCGACTGCGTGAACCAAACCCAGGATAAACTACAAGCCCCAGAATGCCTTAAGCAAAAGACGCGCGTACCAGCGGAGGGACGTAGCTACGTCGTGCGGGACCGTTAAATTTGAAAGTTGGCGGCTGGTCTAGAGGTGGCTGGTTTGTGAGGGAGTTAGGTGCATGCTCTTCTTTTGTCCCGGATCCCCCTCTGGTCGCTTCGATACCTCTAAAGGCAGGTTGCAGAAGGAAACCCAGGCGGTCTGCGTCTCCGAGGAAAGGCCCGCAGGAGGACGAGGTTCTGAGCCGGGAATGCAGGATGGAGGCGAAGAAGAAGGAAGCGGGTGCTCTGAGGTAGGTACAGGAGCTGAGAGCTGGGCGTGCGAGACCCGAGGGTGTCTAACAGGTGACAGAGGCCACGCTAAGAACAGCCAGGGAGAAGAGCGGACGGTCAGTAGAAGAGCAAGCCAGGTCACAGCCTTCTTCCTGTTCGAGTCGGACGCAAGGGATGGAGGTGAAAACTCGGGGTAATCACTGACCTCATTGGGGTGCAGGCACTGAGAATCCTGCTCCGTGCGGCTTCAACATAAAGGAGGCTTTGGGACCCAGTGTTGCTAAGACTTTGGAATTTGTAGTGGGGTCTGCGTTTGTATCTCAGCTCAGCCATTTGCTAGCTCTTGGACCTTGGACTCGTCTTAGTATGGAAAATACTGATTAATCTTACCTTACCAAATTTTGGGAAAATTCAGAGTATATGTAAAGTAAGGGCCTCCAAGTAACTGCTCAGCAACGTGTAGATGCTATAATTATGCCAGTGGCAGTTAGAAATCTAAAAAGCCCTTCTCTGCATACTTGCTGCTTTTCCATATTGTAAATGTGTACCAGCTTTTCTAGGTTGGCATTCTCTATGTGTTTTCATTTTGGGCTACACAATACGAAAATGTCGTATCATGAACTGTTTAATTCCATGCAACAAATATTTATTGACGACCTACTAAGTGCTAGGTGCAGCAAATAAAAGACAAAAATCTCTGCCTTCCTAAAGTTTAGTTTCTGGGGTGGGATGAGGGTAGGGACAACAGACAATAAACACGATAGATAAGCTAAAAGTTAGATGGTGGTTGCTAGTTAAAAAAAAAACAGTGGGGAGAAGGGGGTTGGTACACTTTTAGATAGTTTGAACAGGAGTTCTCACTGGGAAGGTGTCATTTTGGTCAAAACTTGAAGGAAGCTGAAGAGCTAGTCTTGCATATATACAGGAAAAGTACAAAGGCTGGAGGGTGAGGGTTGGGGGAGGACCTGCACCTGACAAGTAGCTGTAGCAGAATGAACCAGAACAGTAAAAAGGAAAGGGTGGGGATGCAGACATTGTAAAGACTTGGCTTTTACTCTGATTGTAGTCACAAGTCATTGGAGAATTTTCAGCAGGAAAAAGACATGATCTGACATGGGTTTAAATGGGGTCACTTTGGCTGCAGTGTTGAAAAGACTAAAGGCAGTAAAGAACTGGAAGCAAGGAGATCAGTTCAGAGGTTACTGAAATAATCCAGGCAAGAGAAGCAGGGGCTTGAGCCAAGCTGGGAGCAGTAGAGATGGTGAGAAGAGGTTGACTTCTGGATATATTTCGGAGGTAGAGCGCGCAGGATTTGCTGAGTGACCAGGGAGATGTGAGAGGGGTGTCAAGGTTGGCGCTGAGACTTTTGACTTGAGCAACTGGAAAAATGAAGTTGTGATGAGGGAAAGACTGTGGGAGGAGCAGATCTGGGAGGAGGCAGAAGGACAAAGCAAGGAAGTCCCAACTCAGTTTAGGACATTTAACTGAGATAATTTAATTGCTAGTTCAAGAGCAAGACAAGAAATTCAGATGAACTCAAGTATTTATTCAGTGCTTACTAGTGTCAGATCCTGTTACTGGACCTGGGGTTACAAAAAAGTAAACGACTTGGCTGTTATAAGATTGACACAATATTAAACAAATGTGAGTAGTTACAACCTAAATTATTAATAACATTTTCTTTAAGTGTTTTTGCTCTCATCTAGATGGAGGTCACAGATAACTTTCACTCTATTTTGAAAGTTGGTGCCTAATCTGCCTCTGATTTAACCCAGAAGTAACTCCTGGCACCCAGAAGTAGGCATTTATCTGACTGTGGCAGAGCTCTGAAGTCGAGAGTGAATACCCAATATGGTGAACACTTGTGGGGATTTCCCCCCAAAGGCTTGGTAGAATTGGGAAGTGGGGAGCGATTGAGACCAGTAAGCTATATTTTTATCTGCCTCTGCTCTGGACCACCTATGTATATAAACTTTAGTTTTAAGTCATCAGTCGAAACATGGGGTGTTATTCTGACAAGCACTTCACTAATTTTAAATTAAACTAGATGGTGTGTTCAGTGGTAGGCATAGAACTGCTTTTTGTTTACTTTGCCAAATTTATAATACTTTTGCCCTTCTTTCCTTAAACTTTATTCTTAAATTTAAATTTTTAAATGTATTTATTTGAGAGAGAGACAGACAGACAGACAGATACAAACATTGATTTGCCATTCTACTTATTTATGCATTCATTGGTTGATTCTTGTATGTGCCCTGACCAGCAATCGAATCTGCAACCTCGGTGTATGGGGATGATGCTATAACCAACTGAGCCAACCAGCCAGGGCTAAACTTTATTCCTGTAGTACTATTCACAATTCCCTGCTACATTCTCTCTTCCATTAGGCATATACTACAGCCGTAAACTTGGGAACCAGGTCACAAATACTCAGGAGCTTAGAAGTGTAATAACGCAACTAATGTGTGTGCCCATGATATTCAATCCAGAAATCATGACTAATCACTTACCTGAGAACATTTTCAATACTCTAGTGATATAATAACTCACTATAGGTTGGTATAAAACTTACTTTTGTTTCCCTCTTCACAGTGAAGCCATGTCCCTGGAGGGAGATGAATGGGAGCTGAGTAAAGAAAATGTGCAACCCTTAAGGCAAGGGCGGAGCATATCCACACTTCAGGAAGTACTGGCGCAGCAAGAACTGGCCCGTAACACTACTCTACAGCAGCAGAAATGGTGTGTAGAACAGCTGGGGCTCAAGCTGTCATGATTCATCCCCAACTGTGGTAGATAATTTGCATGGATCCATGCACAATGGTATAAGAAGTGCTCTTCAAGAACTGATAGTCCAAGAATCTATTGCTCGCCTGCTTTTTCATCACATGGCGGCTATCTAAAGATCTCAGATATGATGAACAAGAGCTTTAGGATTTCATTTCATTGTGGAGCAGCCAAACTCTTATATCAATAGAAATGCATTTTATACAGGGGACAATGAGAAGCAAAGTAAAGCAAGTATCATATTACAGTATTTCCTGAAAGTATTATGTCATTCGGAATCCCTAAACAGAGTTAACTCTTCTTTGATAGTAATCAATTAGAGGCATTTCTTCCTTGGATTCTGAGTCCTGAGGAAGAGTGAATCTGCTATCTTTTATGTGTATTCAATTATTAACTTTCTAGGAAAGTATTTTGATAATGTGCCGAAAAAAAATAGTGATCTCCAAAGAAAATGTAAACCTCAAAGAAACTGAATTTATACTAGAAAGTGTCTCAATAATGATTTAACAAACTCTGGATAAACAAAAGCTAAAAAATATGACAACATTATTCAAATAGAGCTATGGAACTTGCTTTTCTTTGAATAATACATGTTTTGATAAATACACTTTTGTCAAAAAAGTATAGCTTCTACCCTCTATCTCTGACAAAATTCTTTTATCATTGGCAAATTATAATATTGTGTTATAATATAATGAATATTCTTATTCATCTCATTGGATCTTTAAAAGCATTGGGTTTTATTGTTTTGTTTCAGAGCTACTGGTACTGTATTCTGTTCTTACCCCTTCTTCCTGGCTTCTGTGACATTGTGCTACTTTTTTTCCACTTCTCCACTTAGTCCTTGTCCTGCTGTTTTACCTAAGTTTCTGTTCCTTGCCCTTTGCTCTCCTTCCATATTTAAGTTTTCTAGGACTATTTAACTACTGTGTACATCTCTTACTTGTCTTCTAAATGTCTTTTCATGTACCCGTAATATATAATTAAATAAATGTCTCACTAATGTGTTAAATACTAAATCTTCTCTCATAAATAACCTTCCTTTTTCTTTTCTTAAAGATTTTTATTTACTCTTAGAGATAGGGGAAGGGAGGGAGAAAGAGAGAGAGAGAAACATCAATGTGTGGTTGCCTCTTACATGTCCTCTACTGGGGGCCTGGCCCACAACCCAGGCATATGCCCTGACTGGGAATTGAACCAGCAACACTTTGGTTCACAGGCTGGCACTCAACCACTGAGCCACACCAGCCAGGGCATAACCTTCCTTTTTCTACTCCATTTTGGTTCATGATACCAAAACTTACCTGAATGATCTTGCTCTCTTACTGTAATTTTATTATTTGGTTAGTAAGGACTAGTGATTTTTTTTTTAAGTATAAATTACATCCAATGAAATGATCAGATTTTTATGTATACCATTTAATCAGCATTTGTTTTTAAAAAGATTTTATTTATTTTTAGAGAGAGGGGAAGGGAGGGAGAAAGAGAGGGAGAGAAACATCAGTGTGTGGTTGCCTCTCACGTGGCCCCCACCCGGGACCTGGCCCACAACCCAGGCATGTGCCCTGACTGGGAATTGAAGCAGTGACCCTTTGGTTCATAGCTTGCGCTCAATCCACTGAACTACACCAGCCAGGGCTTTATTAGCATTTTTAAAAAACTGATTTGAGAAAGAGAAAGGGAAAGAGAGAGACAATCATCGATTTTGTTGTTCCACACATTTATGCATTCATTGGTAGCTTTTTGTATGTGCCCTGACCAGAGATCGAACCCAGAACCTTGACTGGATCATGCATTAACAACTGGGATACCCAGCCAGAGCTAGTACCATTTAATCTGCTTTGACATGCATTTCAAGGCACATTTTTATTACCTCAAAAGTTCTTTCGTACCCCTTTCCGATCAGTGCAACCAGAGATCAGCTTTCTAGCAACATAGGTTATTTTTGCTTTATTCTAGAACTTTATATAAATGGAATCATACAGTTTTTTTACTCAGCATTTTTCTAGGCTTTTTCATGTTGCATGTATTAAATAGATTGTTCCTTTTTATTACTGAGTAGTAGTCCATTTGTTTATCCATTCATCAATTGGTGGACATTTAGAGTTTTTCCAGTTTTGTGTGCTTATGAATAAAGCTGCTATGGACATTCTTATACAAGGCTTTTTCTGGATATAGATTTTCACTTCTCATGGAAAGGAATTGCTGAGTCATAGAATAAACATATGTTTAACTTTTTAAGAAACTGCCAGTTTTCCAAAGAGATTGTGAAGTTTTATGCTTCTACAACTAATGTATGAGTCTATTTATTCCAAATCCACTCTAGTATTTGGGGGTCAATCTTTTTTGTTTTAGCCATCCTGGTGGATGTGTAATAGTGTCCCATGGTTTTACTTCCCATTTCCCTGGTGCATAATAATAGTGAACACTTTTTACATGGCCTTTTATATAATTCTTTTGTTGTGTATTAGTTAAATGTTATGCCCAGTTTTAAAATTAGGTTGCAGGAGTTCTTTTTATAGTCTGTATACAAGTCCTTTATCAAATATATGTGTTATAGGCTTGATTCCCAGCCAGGGCACATGCCTGGGTTGCAGGCCACAGCCCCCAGCAACTGCACATTGATGTTTCTCTCTCTCTCTCTCTTCCTCCTCCACTTCCCTCTCTAAAAATAAATAAATAAGTCTTTAAAATATATATATATGTGTGTGTGTTATAATGTTTCCCCCAGTCCATGGCTGTTTTCTTGCTGGTATTTTTTTTTTTAAGATTTATTTATTTTTAGAGAGAGGGGAAGGGAAGAAGAAAGGGAGAGAAGTATCAATGTGTGGTTGCCTATTGTGTGCCCCCCACTGGACACCTGGCCCACAATCCAGGCATGTGCCCTGACTGGGAATCAAACCAGAAACCCCTTGGTTCACAGCCCGCGCTCAATCCACTGAGCTACACCAGCGAGGGCTCTTGCTGGTGTTTTTTGATAAGAAGTTTTTGATTTTCATGAAGTTTAAATCAGTGTTTTTCTTTTACGGTTAGTTTTTCTTGTGGGTCTTCTCTGGGAGATTGTTACTACTCCGAAGTTGCAAAGATATTCTGTGTTTTCTTCTAGTAGGTTTATTGTTTTAACTTTTATGTTTAGGTCTATGATTCATCTTAAATTTATCCTTGCCCTGACTGGTGTGGCTCAGTGGGTTGAGCATTGTCCTGCAAACTGAAAGGTGGCTCATTTCTTGCTGGGGCACATGGCTGGGTTGCAGGCCAGGTCCCTGGTTGTGGGCATGAGAGAAGTAACCAACGGATGTTTCTCTCTCACATCAATATTTCTCTCTCTTTTCCTCCCTCCCTTCTACTCTCTCTAAAATTAAAAAAAAAAAAATTAGCCCTGGCTGGCGTAGCTCAGTGGATTGAGCACAGGCTGCAAACCAAAGTATTGAAGGTTCGATTCCCAGCCAGGGCACGTGCCTGGGTTGCAGGCCACGGCCCCCAGCAACCGCACATTGATGTTTCTCTCTCTCTTTCTTTCTCCCTCCCTTCCCTCTCTAAAAATAAATAAATAAATATTTAAAAAATATAAAATAAAATAAAAATTATGCTTGTGTATAGTGTAAGGTTGGAGTAAAAGTACTTCCTTTCCCCTCCTGCTTGCCCCAATATGGATATCCAACTGTTCTGCTTCCACTTGTTGAAGAGATTTTTACTTACCCCATTGAATTGCTAGGGCCTCTTGTGGAAAACCGTGGCTGGTGTGGCTCAGCTGGTTGGAGCATCCTCCTGTAAACTGAAAGGTCCTGAGTTCCATTTCAGTTCTCAGCACATGCCTAGGTTACGAGTTGTCCCAGGTCAGGGCACTTAAGAGAGGCAACCCAGCAATGTTTCTTTCTCATGTCGATGCTTCTTTTCCTCTCTCTCTCCTTCCCTTCTGCTTTCTCTAAAATCAGTAAGCATGTCCTTGGGTGAGGATTAAAAAAACATAATTTGATTGTGTGAATTATTTCTAGACTCTTTTCTGTTTAATTGCTCTAATTGCCTATTCTTTCATCAATTATACATTGTCCTGATTAGCTTTATATGATAAATCTTAAAGTCAGGTACAGTTTGTTCTCCAGTTTCATTGTTCTTTAAAAATTTTTTTGCAGCCCTTGCTGGCATAGCTCAGTGGATTGAGCACGGGCTGGGAACCAAAGTGTCCCAGGTTCGATTCCCAGCCAGGGTACATTCCTGGGTTGCAGGCCATAAGCCCCAGTAACCGCACATTGATGTTTCTCTCTCTCTCTCTCTCTCCCTCCCTTCCCTCTCTAAAAATAAATAAATAAAATAAAATAAAAATAAAAAAAAATTTTTTTTGCTTAGTTTTGGTCCTTTGCATTTCTAAACAATTTCTAAAAACCATCTTGTTAATCTCTAGAAAAGAGCCTGCTGGGATTTTGGTTGAATTGCATTTAATCTATAGATTAATTTGGAGGATGACTGATTTTTCCAAGTAGTGTCTTGGATTTTAGTTTTTCACTGTTCTACATATAATCCCCTCATTATCTCATACTTAAATCACCATATTAGCTTCATAATTGTGGCCCTTTTCAAATGGGCCTGTTCTTATAATGTTACTCGGTTAATCTTTTTAAAATCTTGTCATATTCAAGATACTAACCAATTGAAGAATGAAAGACCCAATAGTGACTCATGCCCTTTTTTTAAAAAAAAAGATTTTATTTATTTTATTTTTAGACAGGGGAAGGGAGAGAGGGAGAGAAACATCAATGTGTGGTTGCCTCTCATGCACCCCCAACTTGGGACCTGGCCTGTACCCAGGCATGTGCCCTGACTGGGAATCAAACCGACAACCTCCCGGTTCACAGGCCCAAACTCAGTCCACTGAGTCACTCAGCCAGGGCTGAGGCTGCTTCTTTGACTCCTTGAAACCATAACGATCCATTCTTGGCAATTGTAATATACTATACTGCTTTGTATTTTTAGTTAATTTTTTATTTTATACTTTGTCTTATTAGAGTATAAATTCCTTTGTGTCAGGAACTACTTTACTCTTTTTTTTTTAACAATGATGTTATTTATTTACTTTTAGAGAGGGGGAGGGAGAAAGAGGGAGAGAAACATTAGTGTGTGAGAGATACAGCAGTTGGTTCCCTCTTGCACACCCCCAGCTGGTGGACCTGGCCCGACACCCAGGCATGTGCCTTGGTCGGGAATTGGACTGGTGATCTTTCGGTTCAGAGGTGGGTGCTCAGTCCACGGAGCCACACCAGCCGGGTATTTTATTCTTTATATCAACCATAACACCTTATACAGTTTTTATTGATTTATCTAAATTGTAGTTTATTACCTAGTACTTCTCCTATATTCTAACTGGTCAGTCTTAACTTAGTCTTAGCCCTCTGTCTTTTCTAAGCCTTTACAAAGTCATATTTTATACTTTCTTAAGGCACTTCCCAAATTTTATATGGTGTTCTCTGACTAATGTTGCCTATAGAATTTTTCTTTAAGAGATATGTGTGTGTCAGTTTCATTTGTTCAATACTATTAAACACATATAAGATGATAACTATAATTTATTGACTACTTGCTATGTCTAAACACTTTAAGACTAATCAACCTAATAAGGTAGGTAGTATTACTATCCCCAGTTTTCAGAAAAGAAAACTGAAAAAAGAGTGTAAATAGCTTGTCCCGGGTCACCCAGTTAGTGACTCCTGGAGCTGCACTTGAACGTAGCGAGTCCTGCTCCAGGGCTTTAACTTGCTGTGTCACACTGCTCTCCTGTATGTTGTCTTGGAATGTGCTTCTCTAATTTGTACATGTTTTGTCCCTCTTGTTCTGTTAACAGGCAGAATCCTAATTATTTCTCTTCTTGTTCCTTCTGTTTAACAAACTCTCAAAGTCCAGTGAAATTATCTAGATTGACATTAAACACTTAATAAATGAATAAAAATGGAGGTAATACTTGTTCATTTGGCTATTTTCACTGTTGCTTATGCTAACATTTTCTGTTTAAATTTCAGGGCATTTGAATCTGAAATTCGATTTTACACGGGAAATGACCCTCTGGATGTTTGGGACAGGTGGGACCTTCTATTTAACAAGGGCAGTAGAAACTTGACATATGAGTCCTTATGGTCATGCTTTTCAGATTGGGGTGTACAGAACAGTGTGCCAGAATGTAAAGGGGTCTTTTGGGGATACAGAGAGAGAGTAGTCATAATGTTTCTTCCTGAGGTATTCAGGGTGTGGCATAGAGCTGTGAGTTTCACCCTTCTGTCCTCATCCCTATTATTTCCAACAAATACTTAACTGGAGATACTTAGAAAAGTTGCGGGGTATAGGCTTGGGGCATGTCATTGAGGACTTCTAGATAAACATACTTACAATGTATTAGATATTTCTGCTTTAAAAAATTCCAGAATGGGTCTTGGAGCAAGAACAAAAGTTTAACATGTTTCTGAAATATTCTTTTCCTTTTCTTTCTGTTCAGGTATATTAACTGGACAGAGCAGAACTATCCTCAGGGAGGGAAGGAAAGTAATATGTCAACATTATTAGAAAGAGCCGTAGAAGCACTACAAGGGGAAAAAAGATATTATAATGATCCTCGATTTCTTAGTCTCTGGCTTAAACTGGTAAGTCTCAAATGCCATCTGAATTTAAAATATTAAACCAAGAGATTTTTTCCAGACGTACCTGGTACACCAAAAAATGGCAAAACCTGAGCCATTTTGTAGATATTAAGCATTTAGTAAATATTCAATATTTAGTAACTTGGTTTTACTTTAAAGACGAATTTTAATATAAGGTTTTATACGTCTTTAAGTGATCGTAAGGCTGGTATAGCTCTCCGTGGGAGTGGCTCACTTTGTTTATTTTGAACATAACTGGGTCACACAGCGGTATTGGAGGAGGACGTAGAAGAGCAAACACAGGGCATTAGTGAAATTGGCAAAAAGCTCATAGATGATTCTGATATCCTTTTCTCCCTTTTTTGAGAATCATCATCAAAAAATGATGTTTAATTCTTCATCTGTCTTTGGGCTTCTTTTATCTAGTTTATTGCTATATCAAAAATGTTTGCCAACTACATTGTACTGTCTTACTTGACATGCAGTTCTTTTATTTCTAGAACAATCTTGAGGATTTTTTTATGAAAACATTTTCTTTGTAACAAATAATGACCAAGGTACTTAGATATTAATTTCATTGCTTTTATCCTAAAAGAGATTAGAAAAAAGTAAATGATAAGTATTTAGAATGGGATGTTAGGTAATGGATAATTAGATACTTTAAAAATTTAAATAAATTAAAAAAATATATATATATATATAAATAGGTACCAAATTTTTTGGACTGTAAGATGCACCAGACCATAAGACACACCTAGGTTTTAGAGGAGGTAAATAGGAAAAAAAATTTTGAAGCAAAAAATCTGGTAAAATATTTAATCACATAAATAACATAGGCTGTCTCCCCCACCACAGTGATCCAGGCAAGCTACATTCAGACTATGAGACGCACCCCCATTCTCTCCAAATTTGGGGGGGGGGTATCTTATAGTCTGAAAAATATGGTAATTAAGTGTTAGATTAGATAGTTTTAAATAATAGAATATTTATAATAATTTGTAATTTGATGAAATATTGACATTTGAAATGGATAAAATTTTTGGCCTAAATATATCTCTTGAGGAGGGCTTATCTTTTTTATTTTTATGTTTCAATTAAAGTTTACATTCAACGCTATTTTGTATCAGTCTCAGATGTACAACATGACAATGATATTCTTTACAAAGTGTTCCCCTGATATTCCCAGTACCCACCTGGCCCCAAGCATAGTTATTGCAATATTGACTGTATTCCCTGTGCTGTACTTTACATCTCTTGACTGTTTTGTAACTACCAAGTTGTACTTCTCAGTCTCTTACCTTTTTCACGCAGTACCCCAGCCTTCTCCTCCTCCCCCTGGCAACCATCAGTCTATTCTCTATCTATGAGTCTGTTTCTATTTTTATTTGTTCATTTATTCTGTTCTTTAGATTCTACATGTAAGTGAAATCATAGGGTATTTGTCTTTCTCTAAGTTGACTTATTTCACTGAGCATAATACCATCTAGGTCCATCCATGCTGTTGCAAGTGGTAAGATTTCATTCTTTTTTATGACTGAATAATATGCCACTGAATATATGTGCCACAGTTTTTTTAGCCACGTGTCTATTGATGGTCACTTGTGGTGCTTCCGTATTTTGGCTATTGTAAACAATGCTGCATTGACCATAGGGTGCATATATTCTTTCAAAATCGTGTTTTGGGTTTCTTCAGATATATATCCAGAAGTGGAATCACTGGGTCATGAGACAATTATGTTCTTAATTTTTTGAGGACCCTCCATACTGTTTTCCACAGTGGCTTCACCCATTTGCATTCCCACCAACAGTGCATAAAGATTCCCTTTTCCATGTCATTGCCAGCATCTGTTTGTTGATTTATTAACTATAGGCATTCTGACAGGTATGAAGTGATATCTCTTTGTGGTTTTTAATTTGCATTTCTCTGATGATTAGTGACATTGAGCATCTTTTCATATGTCTATCGACTATCTATATGTCCTCTTTGGAGTAGTGTCTATTCAGGTCCTCTGCCAATTTTTTAATTGGGTAGTTTGTTTTTTTGGTGTTGAGTTGTATGAGTTCTTTATAAATTTTGTATGTTAACCTCTTATCAAATGAATCATTGGTGAATATGTTCCTCTATTTATTAGGTTGTCTTTTTGTTTTGCTGATGGCTTCCTCCACTGTGCAAAAGTTTTTTAGTTTGATATAGTCCCATTTGTTTATTTTGTTTGTTTCCCTTGCTTCAAAAAATTTTTTGCTAAGAGAAATGTCAGAGATTTTACTGCCTATGTTTTTTTCTAGGAGTTTTATGGTTTCGAGTCTTACATTTAAATCTTTAATTAATTTTGAGTTTATTCTTGTATATGGTGTAAGAAGGTGGTCCAGTTTCATTTTTTTTTTTTTTGCATTGATCTATATGTCTGTTTTTATGCCAATATAATGCTGTTTTGATTACTATTGGCCTCATAGTGTAGTTGGATATCAGGTAGCATGATACCTCCAACTTGTTCTTCTTTTTCTAGACCGCTATACCTATTCAGGATCTTCTATGGTTCCTTATCAATTTTTAGATTTTTTATTTTAGTTCTGGGAAATATGGCATTGGTAATTTCATAGACATTGCATCGAATCCATAGATTGCTTTGGGTAGTGTGGACATTTTAATGATGTTAGTTCTTTCTATTCATGAGCATAGTGTATACTTCCGTTTATTTGTATCTTCTTCAATTTCTTTCTTTAATATCTTATCATTTTCCAAGTACAGTTCTTTTACTTTCTTCCTTGAATTTATTCCTAGGTAATTTATTTTCTTTTTTAAAATTTTTTCTTTATTTTTTATTTTTAGAAAGAGGGGAAGGGAAGGAGAAAGAGAGGAAGAGAAACATCATGTGTGGTTGCCTCTCACATGGCCCCCACTAGGGACCTGGCCTGCATCCCAGGCACGTGCCCCAACTGGGAATCAAACCGGTAACCCTTTGGTTCGCAGCCTGAACTCAATCCACTGAGCTACACACGAGCCAGGGCCTAGGTAATTTATTTTCTTTGAGACAATTGTAAATGGGATTGTTTTCTTAGTTTCCCTTTCTGATACTTCATTATTAGTATATAAGTCTGCAACCTATTTCTGAATTTTCATTGTATCCTACTACTTTACTGAATTCATTGATCAGTTCTAGTAGTTTTTGGTGGAATTTTTAGGGTTCTCTACATACAGTATCATGTCATCCGCACATAATGAGTTTTACTTCTTCCTTTCCAATTTGGATGCCTGTATTTCTTTTACTTGTCTCATTGCTGTGTCTAGGACTTTTAGTACTGTGTTGAGTAACAGAAGTGAAAGGGAACATCCCTGTCTTGTTCCTGATCTTAAGGGAAATGCTCTTAGTTTTTCCCCACTGAGAATGATGATTACTCTGGGTTTGTCATGTACAGCTTTTATTATGTTTAGGTATGTTCCCTCTATTTTCACTTGGCTGAGTTTTTATCATAAATGGGTGTTGGATTTTGTCCAGTGCTTTTTCTGTATGTATTGATAAGAGCATATGATTTTTGCTCTTCATTTTGTTTATGTGGTATATAATGTTGTTGATTTGCAGATTGTATCATCCTTTAATCCCAGGAATAAATCCCACTTGATCTTGGTTAATGATCACTTTAATGTATTGCTGAACTCGGTTTCGTAATATTTTGTTGAGGATTTTTGCATCTATGTTCATCATGACTACTGGCCTATGGTTTTCTTTCTTTGTAGTCTTTTTATTTGGTTTTGGAATTAAGGTAATGCTGTCCTCATAGAAAGAGCCTGGGAGTCTTTCTTTCTCTTGAATTTTTTTGGAATGGTTTGAGTATAGGTGTTACTTCTTGAACGTTTGGTAAAATTCACTTGTGAAGCCTTCTAGTCCAGGACTTTTTTATGTTAGGAATTTGGTTATTGCTTAGATTTTATTAGTTATAATCAGTCTGTTCAGGTTTTCTGTCTCTTTTTGTTTTGGTTTTGGAAGATTGTATGTTTCTAGGAATGTATTCATTTCGTTCAGATGTCCAATTTGTTGACATATAATTCTTCATATTTCCTTATAATCCTTCATATTTCTGTGGTGTCAGTTGTACTTCTATTTCACTTCTGATTTTATTTCTTTTGGTCCCCTCAAAGAACCATTTCTTGGTTTTATTGATCTTCTGTGTTGTGTTTTAGGCTCTATTTTGTTTATTTCCACTCTGATCTTTATTATTTCCTTCCTTCTACTTACTTTGGGCTTTGATGTTCTTTTTCAAGTTCCTTTAGTTGTAAGTTTAGATTGTTTATTTGATATTTACCATGATCATGAAGGTGGTTTTCCCAGGGCGAGGCTTGTGCATTGCACTCTGAATGTGCTGGCCCATGTGATTTCCCCTAATGTGGGAAACTCGACTGCATAATTTGTGGTAGAGGGGGACTGCATTCGCACTCTCCCCTGGGGGAAAAACAGGAAAAAAAAGATTGTTTATTTGAGATTTTTCTTATTTTTTGAGGTATGCCTCCAATGCTATGAAATTCCCTTTCAAGGACTGCTTTTGCTGTGGGCTGTAGATTTTGTGTTATTGTGGTTTCATTTTCATTTGTCTCAAAGTATCTTATTTTTTATAATATATTTTATTGATTAAGTTATTACAGTTGTCCCTTTGGCATTTTAATTATGATATGTATTGGTGTGGTCCTCTTTGGGTTCAACTTGTTTGGGACTCTGTGCTTCTGGAACTTGTATATCTATTTCCTTCACCAAATTAGGGAAGTTTTCCTTCATTATTTTTTCAAATAAGTTTTCAATTTCTTGCTCTTCCTCTTCTCCTTCTGGCACCCCTATGATTTGGATGTTGGTACATTTGCAGATTGTTTTTTTGAATTCTTTTTTTCTTCTTGCTGTTCTAACTGGATGCTTATTTCTTTTTTATGTTCCAAATCATTGATTTGAATCCTGGCTTCTTCCTCTCCACTGGTGGTTCCCTGTAGGTTTTTCTTTATTTCACTTAGTGTAACC